AATGTAAAGAGTACTACCAATTGTTTTTTTAAGTGGGTGGGGAAATACATGTTTATATACAAATAGAATTTTTCTGGGGAAAAAAAAAAGAAACTAGCAATAACAGTGGCCTACAGAAGGGACTGAGGGACTCAGTAAAGGAGTATACTCTTTTTCACAATTCGAAAACATTTTACTATGTACACATATCCCTGTTAAAAAAAAAATCAGGAAGTACTTAAGTCTGTGATTATGACAAAATTAAAGCAATGGAAGAAAAAGTGTTGCCTATTAACAGCAATCTTACCTTTCTTACCTATCTCTAAATTCTTTGTGGCAAATATCTGAATTTATTTAAACAAAGGTGGACATAGAGAGGTCTACTCCACCTTCCTCCTTTAAAGCCACAATAACTTTCAATTTCTAGCCATAATGCTAAAAACAACAACCAAAAAAAACCACAAAAAGCTGCACTTGCTTCTCAAACCAAGATGCAAAAATCTCCTAAATGCTTCCCTCTGTTGTAACCAAAGTTTAAATGACTTAAATATATTAATAAATCCATAACTAAAGTTCAGTTACATTTCATATGTTAACATTGTGTTCTAATCATGTTTTATGAGGAAACAGTTTCACCTAAGATCTTCTTGTCCCTAAACTAACAAAGAACTTTAGGATTACCGAAGAGTACAAATTTCCTAAACTCACCCCAGCCAAAAGTTACTTCAGTTATAAACTAGAGGGCTCCCCCCATAGCTTCAAAATTTCCAAAACTTCTCCATTTCCAAACAGGATTGGGGAGGGGTGTTGCAGGCAAAGCCCAAGTAAGCGTGTCCAACCTTCTTCCACCTCTGTAGATGCCCTCCCCGGTCTCAGGGACCCCAGAGCACTGATTCAATGAACAAGAGCGGGAGGACAGTGGACCCACTGGATCTGACTCTGAAGCGTGGCATGGGGCTCATGTACCTGTGAGTAACAGGCTCTCATCAGTCACACCTGGGCAAATGAAGTGGCAAGTGCTGTTGCCTCACCCCACACCCACACAGAACCAGACTGCTGACAGTGGTCTCTGCAATACCACCATGAAAAGTGAAGCAAATGTCTGGAGCTAATGCCTGTCAACTGGATTTTTACTAACAAATATATTTCTTGAAGATCTATAAATGTGCAGGTACCTTGGAAAAAATAATATGTTAAATAATATGTTAAATAATAATAATATGCTAATGAAAATGAAGAAATTTTGCTAACCTAAAACATTAACTAAAATAGATACTCCAAGCATCAAAATATGACAAAATATTGACTTCTCAAAAAAAAATTTCTGAACATCCAGAACTATAACACTGTACAAAAATCTCCAGGCTTAGAAAAAAAAATTACTTTTTAGATCATTTACAAGTTGGTTGTTTATTCACACCTCCACTTAACATAAATGTATTTGCCGTGCACTGTTCTCAGTACCAGGCATGCCATCCTGATTAAGACAGACCCAGGTCCTCCTCGTGCACTGCTGGTGGGAATGCCAACTGGTGCAGCCACTGTGGAAGACAGCATGGAAGTTCCTCAAAATGTTAAAAATTAAACTACCCTACAATCCAGCAATTGCATTAGTGGGTATTTACCCCCCAAAAATACAAAAATATTAATTGAAATAGAAACATGCAGGGCGCCTGGCTGGCTCAGTCGGTTAAAGGTCTGCCTAAGGTCTGCCTTCGGCTCAGGTCATGATCCCAGCTGGGGATCCAGCCCCGCATCAGGCTCCCTGATACAATCTTTTAAAAAAAAAACAAAAAAAGACGGGCGCCTGGGTGGCTCAGTTGGTTAAGCGACTGCCTTCGGCTCAGGTCATGATCCTGGAGTCCCGGGATCGAGTCCCGCATCGGGCTCCCTGCTCAGCAGGGAGTCTGCTTCTCCCTCAGACCCTCCCCCCTCTCATGTGCTCTCTTTCTCATTCTCTCTCTCTCAAATAAATAAATAAAATCTTAAAAAAAGAAAATCTTAAAAAAAAAAAGAAATGGCACCAGATCAACCAGCCAGTTTTAAAAAATAATAATAAAATAAAATAAAATAAACAAAAGAAGGAAGGGGCGCCTGGGTGGCTCAGTCGTTAAGCGTCTGCCTTCGGCTCAGGTCATGATCCCAGGGTCCTGGGATCGAGCCCCGCGTCGGGCTCCCTGCTCGGCGGGAAGCCTGCTTCTCCCTCTCCCACTCCCCCTGCTTGTGTTCCTGCTCTCGCTGTCTCTCTCTCTGTCAAATAAATAAATAAAATCTTTAAAAAAAAAAAAAAAAAGAAGGAAAAGAAACAGATACATGCACCCCTGTTTATTACAGCATTATTTACAACAGCCAAATTATGAAAGCAGCTCAAGTGTCCACTGACAGATGAATGGATAAAGAAGATGTGGTGTGTGTACACATATACACATACATACACAGTGGAATATTATTCAGCTGCAAAAAGAAGGAAATCTTGTCATTTGCAACATGGATGGTGCCAGAGGATATTGTGCTAAGTTAAATAAGCCAGTCATAGAAAGACAAATACTATATGATTTGACTCATATGTGCAATTTAAGAAACAAACAACCAAAGGGAAAGAGAGAGAGAAAGAGAGAGAGAGAGAAGCAAACCAAGAAATAGACTCTTAACTACAGAGAACAAACTGATGGTTACCAGAGGGGAGGGGGGTGGGGGGATGAGTGAAGCAGGTGACGGGCATTAAGGAGGGCACTTGTGATGAGCACCAGGTGTTGTATGGAAGTGCTGAATCACTATACTGTACACCTGAAACTAATAACTCTGTTAACTATACTGGAATTAAAATTAAAAATTTAATTAAAAAAAAAAAAAACAGTTCCTGTCTTCATGAAGTTCACAAGAGTAAACACAAGAACAATGCATTAGGGTACCGTCTAGTTCTGTCACAAGGAACAATAAGGAAAAACATCCTTGGAGTAGATTTTAATATTCTGTACGGTGTGGCTTCAAAGCATATGTAATAGGGTGCCCGGGTGGCTCAGTCGGTTAAGCGACTGCCTTCGGCTCAGGTCATGATCCTGGAGTCCCGGGATCGAGTCCCGCATCGGGCTCCCTGCTCGGCGGGGAGTCTGCTTCTCCCTCTGACCGTCCTCCCTCTCATGCTCTCTGTCTCTCATTCTCTCTCTCAAATAAATAAATAAAATCTTAAAAAAAAAAAAAGCATATGTAATAAATTAAATATTTTTAATTTAAATCTTAAAATGAACTGAAAATAAGATAATTTCATATAGCAATAAGTGCCATAAAGAAAACCAAACAGTAATGAGAAAGCAGTGCCTGGAGTGGAGGTAAGGATGTTTAGGGAAAGTTCCATCGCTGAGCTGAACCCCCTACGATGAACAGGAGTGAACTAAAACAAACGTGGTGTGCTTGGAGGGCCAGAGAACACATGAGGCTGTATTGTGGGAAAGTGGTGGACAAGTGGCAGATATGGACAGGGGACAAATCACAAAGGGCATTATAGGCCACAAAAGGAGTTTGGATTTTATTCTAATGACTATGGAAAGTCACTGGCAGGCTCTAAGCCTGGGAGTGACAAGAGGGAATCTGGTTAAACATAATAGCTTCTTGTTTAGAACACAGTACATCTTCAAGTAGAAAGAATGTTCTAAACCGCGGTGCGGCAACATTGTTTCTGTGCCTCCATCGGTCAGAGCTGATCTACTCCCCACCCTCTGCCAGGCTGTGCGCGAGGTACTGTACGCAGGGTCTCTGTCCTTGAGCTCACAGTCACGTAGAGATGAGAAACACTGAACAAATCATTACAGCTGTAACATTTATAAGAGTGGAATATGCAGAATGCCAGTGCGACCCAGGGCAAAGGGTAGTTACTCTGGCCTGCAAGAGGCCAGGAAGGAAGACCTCACACAAGACCAGAGTCAGAGTCCTGGAAAGGGCAAGCAGGGACTTCCTCAGTGCATTCCTCTCTGTGCTACACCCAAGCCACTGGTGGGTCACAAAAAAATGTAGGGGCTACAAAGACTCTTTCTTGTAAAGTATATTATATAGGATTTTTGTGGTGGAATGGGGGAAAAAAATTAACATATAAAACTTGCAACTGCAACTTCACAGGTATTGGTTAAATACAATTTTATTAAGAACATCAAAAACACAAACTTCCAGTTCTAAAATAAATTAAGTCCTAGAGATTAACATACAGCATGCAACTACAGTTAATAACACTGTAGTGCATATTTGCTAAGAGAGTAAATCTTAAAGTTCTTATCACAAGAAAAAAAAAAGCTTTAACTGTTTGTGGTGATGGATGTTAACTAGACGTACTTCGATGGCCATCCCCCAATATACACAAATACTGAATCATTATGTTGCACACCTGAAACCAATATAACGTTGTACATCAATTGTACCCCAACTTTAAATTAATAATCTTTTAAAAAGAACTTTAATTATCTGGTGTTCCCACCACACTGAAAATGTGATAGTCTACACATCACTCCAACAAGTGGGTCTGTGCTCTGTGTGTGTGTTACCCATCATGAGCTGCGGCTAAAGACTTTTTTTAAATACCAACTTTCTTGCAGCCATTTTTATGCCCCCCCCCAAAAAAACAGGCTTTCATCAAAGTTTTCAAACAGAGATGTAGAAAAAATTCCAAATACTCTCCACATAGATTAAAAAATGATTAACAATTGACAAACCATGAGAGACTATGGACTCTGAGAAACAAACAGGGTTTTAGAGGGGAGAGGGGAGGGGGGAGGGGGGGATTGGTTAGCCCAGTGATGGGTATTAAGGAGGGCACGTACTGCATGGAGCACTGGGTGTTATACGAAAACAATGAATCGTGGATCACTACATCAAAAACCACTGATGTATTGTATGGTGACTAACATAATAAAATTAAATTTAATTTAAAAAAACGATTAACAATTTCCTGATTAGCTCTGTGTATACACACGGGCATATACATATACTTCCTGAGCTTTCTGGAAGTGCTGGGAGACATCATGACATCTCACCTCTAAACTCTTCAGCTGCTGTCCCCCAGGAATACGGGCATTCTCCTATATAATCACAACACCATTAGCACACCTAAAAAAAAAAGAAAGAAAGAAAAAAGAAAAAAATCAACTCCTTAATATCATCTATCATCAGGTACACAGTTTAAAAAAATTTTAAGTACAAAGAAGGGGCTTTGTTGAGAACCTTACTGAAGGAATGTGTTTTAATAAACTGATTAGATTTATATTATTTGTATTTCATTATTTTTCATTTCTAAATGTAATAATGCTTTTAAGTTAAAAGTCCAATTTTTAGGGGCACCTGGGTGGCTCGGTTGGTTAAGCGTCTGTCTTCAGCTATGATCTCTGGAGTCCGGGGATGGAGCCCTCATGGTCGTGGTCAGGCTCCCTGCTCACCAAGGAGTCTGCTTTTCCCTCTCCCTTTGCCCCTCCCCTCTGTGTGCACTTTCTCTCAAATAAATAAATAAAATCTTTAAAAATAAACAGTTCAATTTTTAAGTCAATTTGTTAAATATTACAAGAATGATTATGGTAATCAAATATGGCAAAAAAGTGTGAAAGTGGTACATGCAAGACTGACATTTTGGAAGTGCTGTGTTAGTGGAAGGACACTTGAGACAAAGGCACCTCCAGGGAAAAGGATGTGCAGAAGAGCAGGGTCCAGGTAAGAGAGAGGGAGGTGAGTGGGACGGGTCACTGGAGGGGAGCTCTTGGAGGATTCTGCGTGCTTTCCTGAGGAGTCTGGACTTCACCCTACTGGCAGTGGAAGTTTTACATCCTACAATCTGCTCTATCTGGCCACACAGTGTGTGGGATGCACTGGAGAGCAGGGAAGATGGGGGGGAGGGGGGCATTTGGAGTCAATAGAACAAGGTTTATATTTTTCACTGCAAATATTTAATGTTTTAGTCATATTATGGGTTGAATAAACCTGCTATCCTGGTAAAGGGACAAAACAAAAACATAAAATTAAACTAAGTTTATCTTGAATGTTCATGCTCTAGAAATGCAGCTTTAAAGACAGAAAGGTACAGTCAGAAGAGATGTAAATTTTGAAAAGAGCCCTTGGGCACTTCTGAAGGTTTCAGCATTTAATGGAGCTGGCTCTTTTTCAAACCCAGTTTCACTTTCCAAAGTGGCTTTCCTTTTCCTTGGCAAGATTCATCACTGGCACTAATTTTATGTTTATCAGTCACAATTAAAAATTTCCAAAGGAAAACCAATGGGAAAGAGGTGGGTGCAAAACAGATAAAAGTGATTTTCAAATACACAGAGTGCCCTCAGGACAGGACTGGCAGTAACTCCAGGAGCTGCATGTACAGAGTCCAGGGGCCAGATGCCAAATCTGCCTCAAGGAGGAGGAGGAAGGCAGCACAGGGAGCCTGGCTAAGGGCAGGACAGGAACCGCCCGCCCCCTACCCCCAACCCACGACCTCTAGTTTTATTTATGTTGCATATTGGGCTTCTTAGAAAGATTTCATTCGAACAAAGGGTTCCTTGGATTTAAAAATGTTTCAAAGCCAAGGAGTCAGAACTGCACAAATATTCTTAAGTCAGAGGCTGGAATTCAAGAAGACTCTGAGTTCCACAAGAGAACTGCCGGGGGACGAAACAAACACCATCACTGAAGAGGAGTGTAAAGAAAGAGACCTCGGCAGATAGGCCTACTGGAGGAGCAGCAGCTTTGGGGTAGAATGAGGGATTGGGGTTTGTCTGGGACCTGCAGCTTTTGAGGGGCCAATGAGGCAACCAAACTGGAGGTCCAGACAGCAAAGGACATGTGGATATAAAGCTTAGCAGAAAGGTTTAGGAGGGCACAAGGGCTAGGTGAAGCTAAATGTGGATGAATCCAAGAGAGATGTAAACAGAGAAACAAGGGAGGGTCTGAAAAGGTCACAGAAGGCAAAAAGAAAAGGGTCTTCCTCAAGACAGGACCCCGTGGGGCCATCCATGCACAGGGCCACTTCAGGAGGAGACCCTGAATTCAGGATAGCCTGTGTCCGAGAACAGACAAAGCACAGGCTAGACTGCTCGGGGGTGGTGTTCTACAAAGCAGAGGCTCCAGAAGGGCAACAGGGCAAGAGTAAGGGTACTGGCTAGGAAACAAGTAAAAGATTGGACAATGGGTCCAGGTCTGAAGGGGCTGGAACTCTGAGAGAAAAAGGAGATCACAGTGAGGTCCAAGATGAGACAGGGGAGTATGGAAGCCCCTTGAGGAAGCTACAGAACACCACCACACCAGAACCTACGATTTCACTAGCAGAGGTGTTCTGGAAAGAGCTCCTTTGAGACAAGTTAACAGGAAGCCAAAGTCAGGGTAGAGGGCTGGGACAATGTCTTCAGAACCCTGTAGTGCCTTAAGGCCCTGGATCTGGCAGTAGGAGTCATGCAACCCTCTCCTCCAGCACTCACTGCAGAAAAGGGACACCCACCCTAGCAGGGAAGGCCAGAAGAGCCTACCCAGCCCCTCCATTCCCTTGTCACACCGGCTACTGGCAACAGGATCTGGCAACAGTCATTTAAAGCTGCCCTCAGTTCACCTGGGAGCCTCTATCTGCCCTTAAGGAAAACAGGGCCCCAATAACATCTAGGAGAAGATCTAAGTCTGTTTTCCAATTTGTATAAAATGTTACTTGTATTATTAATAATAATAACTATGCATATTTTAAATGCAAATATAACTCATGATTGAGGACTGGGAAACCAGCTTTAAAAAGGAAACAAAATGGGGTTAGGTCAGTCAGTAGAGTGTGTGACTCTTGATCTTTGGGTCAAGAGTTCAAGACCCACATTGGGTACGGAGCTTATTTAAAAAAAATTCTTTTTGGGCGCCTGGGTGGCTCAGTTGGTTGAGCGACTGCCTTCGGCTCAGGTCATGATCCTGGAGTCCCTGGATTGAGTCCCGCATCAGGCTCCCTGCTCGGCAGGGAGTCTTCTTCTCCCTCTGACCCTCCCCCCTCTCATGTGCTCTCTCATTCTCTCTCTCTCAAATAAATAAATAAAATCTTTGGGCGCCTGGGTGGCTCAGATGGTTAAGCGTCTGCCTTCGGCTCAGGTCATGATCCCAGGGTCCTGGGATCGAGTCCCGCATCGGGCTCTCTGCTCCTTGGGAGCCTGCTTCTCCCTCTGCCTCTCTCTCTCTGTGTCTCTCATGAATAAATAAATAAAATCTTTAAAAAAAATAAAAATAAAAATTTTTTAAAAGGGAAACAAAATGAAAATAATAAACATTAATTACATTAAGAGTTTGAAGGGTTCAGATATCATAAATGACCATAGTAACATCAACAAAACACCCAAAGTTTTTCAAATTTCTAGCTTTAGTTACTAGACCACCTACCCCTGCCCATTTGGCTCAATAATAAAAATGAAAACTAATCAAAAGGAAACCATATTCCTGGAAAGAACACCTACCTACTAATTTTTTTAGAAAGATAAAAATGGGGGCACCTGGTTGGCTCAGTTAGTAGAGCATGTGACTCTTGATCTCAGGGTCATGAGTTCAAGCCCCACACTGGGCAGGGAGCTTACTTTAAAAAAAAAAAAGTCTTGTCTAACGGTTTGCTTACAAACTCCAATGCTTATTTTAAAAATTAACAAACGGATTCGTATATAAACTGGTCTCTTCACAATATTTAACTGACAATTCAGGAGCCTCAGTGATACACAATAGAGAATGGAGTAAAAGACGTGCTCGCTAGTGTCCTAGAGACAGTATCTACCAAAGAAAAGGACACTTTCAGAAAAACCTTACTAACTCTAGGAAGCAACTAACCACTCTGATTTTCTTAAGAACTGCGCAGTAAGTTAAAGCACAATAAAATAATAAAAAATAAAATAAAATAAAATATAAAATCAGGATTCACAGCATTGTCATTTTTTCAAGGATAGTCAAAAGTAGCGTTGTCAAGAAGGTAGTGACGGGGTGGTGATCAAGAGGTGCCCCAAAGTTAACTGCCCTCCCCCAGGAACAAACAGTATTCAGGAGATTCACCCCATGCTTACTACATGAATACAGGCATTAAAAAATAAGGGTTAAAACAATATTGAAAGAAAAAAGATACACCTCTTTAGCCATTCTGAGAATACTAACTGCTCAACTCGTAATCCTTAGCTCTGTCAGACCCGCTTTCCCTCTGTCTGTGACTGGATATCTGTACTACACAAAGGCAAAGTGAAAGTAATACAATAAATTTAAAATATAAAGCATTAATTATGTACTATCATTATTATGTAGGTTATTGAGCCTCTTTAAATACTTACTAGTTTTCCATTAACACAGAAAGGAGATGTTAAATATGGCAAAACCTCAACTAACCGGAACAGCTGGTGAGTGAGTCACTGATTAATCATGCCTCTCAGATAGCTGAAGGCTTATTTACAACTTTGAACACACAAACTTTTTTGGTTAACTGTTCTGGGTAGATGCTTTAACCCAGACCAACATGGGGAACATCAGTGATTACACAGGAAGACACACAAGGTTCTCTGTCCCTATCCAAATGAGATCGCAGACCGTAGCGACCCCTGCTTTTTACTTTCCCATCTTCTACCCTGTCTTCCCATTCTGCTTCCATCTCTCTCAACGTTCCAATTACCAAGTGTGTCAGGACTGCGTCTAAGGAAAAGGCATCTGGTTCTCACAGCTCCGCTGGCAACCTACAGAGCTCTTCCAAGGGAGATGAACGAGCCCTCCTGTACAGGGTTCTGTGACCTCTATTTTACCTGCTGCCAAAAATCTTTTTAAGAATGTATTTCCTCGGGCCGCCCGGGTGGCTCAGTCGTTAAGTGTCTGCCTTCGGCTCAGGTCATGATCCCGGGGTCCTGGGATCGAGCCCCGCATCGGGCTCCCTGCTCCGCGGGAAGCCTGCTTCTCCCTCTCCCGCTACCCCTGCTTGTGTTCCCTCTCTCCCTGTGTCTCTCTCTCTGTCAAATAAATAAATAAAACCTTTAAAAAAAAAAGAATGTATTTCCTCAAAAGGAAATTCTGATGCACATGCTACGGTATGGATGAACCTTGAGGACATTATGCTGAAACAAGCCACTCACAAGAAGACAAATACATATGAT